CTGTTTTGCGTAGAAATACACTTATTTCTTTCAGGTCCTCTTTCTCTGATATCTGTGACTGTAGATTTCCATCTTAATATCAGGTAATCAGGAAGGCGTTGAATAATCTGCCGCAAAGTTTCCACTGTGTTGACATCACTAAGGTAGTTTAGTCTTGTAAGAGTTGCAATACAGTTCATCACTTCAACAGAAAAGTCACGTAAACTGTTGCGATCGTTGTTTCTAATCTTTACACCTTTTGTCAGTTGCTGGATAAATTTCCTTGCTATGCGACTTGGATGTCCAAACTGTTCCTTTATTGTCTTCAAGGCTGACGCATACATTAATCCACTTGATCCCAAACCTGCTATTGATCTCTCAGCTTCCCCAGATAAATGCATTTTCAATTGTCCCATTCTTTGCTCATCAGTCAAATTAATTTTGTTGTGAATATGAATTTTAAAAGTTTCAATAAATTCTACATACTCCAATGCATTGCCACTGAACTGTTTAATCTGTAACGATGGAATGTCTCTGCTTGCCTCCAGTCTGTACAAGGCTTGTGCAATACTCATCTCTGTATGAGAAGCCTGTGGTAACTTTGTCTCTTCATATTCTACCAAATCGTCAATCCATGAGTCAACAGTAACTGGACAATCATCTTGCCTAACATGTGGATCTGCACCTGGATCTTGCATGCTGGATATTCTACTGTCCTTTATCTTGTCTGGATATTTTTGCTTGATCTCGATGCTGCCTTTTCTGTCAGTTTCATGCTTGTTGACCTCTTCTCTATCACTGATAGCTTCAATAGATATAACTTTCCTGTGATGCTGTGCTTCCTCTATTTGAGATAGTTCTTCTCTTTTCCTATAATCTTCTATCTTGTCTTCTATCTCATAGATGTCATCAGTGAGGTCTGTCTCCCACTTGTCAAGCTGAGTACATTTTGGGTTAGGAAAGTTGTACAATTCTGCATTCAACAATAAAGTCTGTTTGTAATCAGTTCGCAGATCATCTAGTTCTCTTTCAGCTCTCCGTGGAGTAAGTTTCCTGGTTGTCATTGACAATAATAATCGATTAATTGTTCTTGTTATCTTTGCTCTGTATAATTTTCTCTTCTGACGTACCTCTCTTTCCCTCTCATCCATTTCCTGGAACCTCCTCTCCTCATCCATACTATGAATTTCAGCTTCAACCTCTTGCAGAATGAAATCTTGTGTAGCCATCATTCATCAACAAAGTTTAATGTCACCTTTAAATTGTCTATTCATCGACACTCTTCACTTGTTGTCCATACATCGACACTCTGTAACTCTTCATTCTTCAGAAATTTGTTTTGAATGAACAATGGTTAAATAAGGCGGAATTCTTCCAATAAGTCCTTTATTAAATAAAGTTGACAGATTCTGCAAATTGAACAAATGTAGAAATAAATACACACTGCATTGATAACACAACAATAGTACAATCAATATTACTCTTACAACCCTGGTCCTGATCCACAAATACACTTAGTCTACAATAATACCCATTAAATAATGGACTCTCCCAAAATGGAAATAACTCTCAAATGCAAAATACAGTACTGAAAATACATTGCCAATATCATTATCACTTCACGTGAAAAAAGGTATCAATATCTTGAAAATATTTCCTATAGTTATTTCAAATTATTGCTCAAAAGCACATGGCAAAATGTAACCCCTATGGAAATAATGAACTCTTCCATAAAATACAGAGATGAAAATATGGAGAAATTAACCGAAAACACTTTCGTCATTCCTACATGACATTATAATACACTAAATATTTAACTGAATTACTCAATGATACAATATATTTTGGCATGGGTAATGAAGTAAACAAATAATCTACCCTTTAGGTGTAATGCAATCTTCCGTGAAGCATGAATGAAAACAATCTTCAAAAAGTACTTAAAATTACCTGTAATTATGACTATGTAGGAAATACTACTTTACAGTGCATTTAGACTATAAAGAAATGAATATATGTACCTGAAGAGTGAATTTTCCGCCTCTATACAAAACACAGCTTCCATCAACCTGCAGTGCATCTCGGCACACCATGCGGTCTTTGTCAGTGCTAACACAACACGAAAAGCTCGTTCAAAAAAGGGAGATAACTCCCACCCTACACTAGATAACATACCGCTAACAGAAGATACTGATAAAACGAAAGTCTTGCATAATATTCTAAAAATGGTCACATTTCAAAACAAGTGCCATGACGTCATTAACTTGATGACGTCACAATCATATGACATCGTTACACTGCAAGTCTCATGGCAGTACCATGTTCAGAGATGTACATTTTTCATTGAAAACTAAAGAAGAATGATTTTTTATGAAAAATAGAATCTCACCCTTGTGTCTTTTGATATCAAATATATCAACACTCGTTGATAAAAGTACAAATATCCTCGGCAAGCCTCGGATGTTTGTGACTTTATCAACTCTTGATGATATATTTGATATCAAAAGACACGAGGGTGAGATTCTCTATATCTAATAGTCATTTTAACTAATAGTCATTTCAACGAAAGTTGGTGCAATGGTACAATTTACTGATCTTCCAATATACGATTTCATCAAAATTAATGTAGCGAAAACTGAGTAACATCTTGAATTAAATTATTGTAATGCATTATTAGTGTAAGTCCAGATATACAATGAACACTTAACTGCCAGATAGGAAAATAAAACACAAATGTGTATACTGCAGTTCGGATTTGTTGAGTATTTCTGGTTTTATGTGCTTAAGAGAACAACTTCATGTTGTGAAACCCACTCGAAGAAAAGCACACTGGCGGTCAAATAGTAGTCAAAGACTGGAGATAGCGTAGAATACCCTGTAAACTGTTGTATCTGTTTGTTAATTTAGCAAAGGTGTCCATAAACTATAAAAACATGTGTATCTGTTATGTATACACACACAGTAGGCTAACTAGCTTCAATGCTTAAACATATTGTTTGTGCTTTTGATAGTATACAGTGTACTATCAGGTTGAGTTCCTTTTGATAGTATACAGTGTACTATCAGGTTGAGTTCCTTTTGATAGTATACAGTGTACTATCAGGTTGAGTTCCTTTTGATAGTACCGTTACAGTGTACTATCAGGTTGAGTTCCTTTTGATTGTATAAAGTGTACTATCAGGTTGAGTTCCTTTTGATAGTATGAGTTCTGTGAATACAACTGTATGAAAGTTTGGGGGTCCTGCCTGAAGAGTTACCATGGTAACCACCACAAGCTGCTTTAAATTGGATAAAGGGATAAAGTATTGTATTGTACTTATGAAGGAATATTTTAGGTAGGTCCTTTCAAAGGTTGCAAAAAAAGATGGTGCCTGCCCATTTTCTATCATTGTCAAAGGCCATTGCCTGAAAACTAATTCTATATATGTTTAAGCTTCATTATGTCAGCAATAGGAATCGCTAAAGAGTGTGTCAACTTTTGATAAATCAGTGTATGGTTTTGTCGAACTGAGCCCAGGGTTCCAGGGACTTGTCCTTTGATACATGTTTATTTGACCTTACATATGTTGGATATTTGAAGTCTTGGTCCTTGCTATCAGTTATAGTTCCGGGACTGTCAGCACCATAGACATGTTGTGGATTAATAATAATAATAATAATGTTTCCATTTATATAGCGCCAAACTCCACACTAAGTATGCTCATAGCACTGCCAATGACGATCTGCTCATAGCACAGCACATTATTACCCTGGATAAACCAAGCTGCCTGTTAGGCGCTAGAAGGTTATAGTCACATGACTTATCCCACCGGGTACCCATTTTTCTGCTGGATGAACAGAGGCAATTTTGAACAAACTCACTTGCCTAAGGTGAGACCACATGTGTCACATGTTTGTTGTGGGGCAGGACTGAAGTCAAAGAAACTCTCAGGAGTCAAATTGCTAAACCCGGTCACACATCCAAGGACTCTCCCCGCTCAACTTTGCTTAACTTCAACTGAATTGTGACCTGAGCTCTATGCACAGGACCACACGGCACCACATATTGCCAGATTAGTAAACATCTGAAGCCTACATCATTTTGGGCTCTCCTTCCACAACAAGCTGACACTGACTGGGATATAACAAGAATACTGTCAAAAGCTGTGTTAAACACAACTCAATCTGGTGTAGAATAGGTCTTCAGCAACCCATGCTTGCCACAATAAGGCGACTATGCTTGTCGTAAGAGGCGACTAACGGGATCGGGTGGTCAGGCTTGCTGACTTGGTTGACACATGTCATCGGTTCCCAATTGCGCAGATCTATGCTCATGCTGTTGATCACTGGATTGTCTGGTCCAGACTCGATTATTTACAGACCGCTGCCATTTAGCTGGAATATTGCTGAGTGTGGTGTAAAACCAAACTCACTCACTCACTCACACTAAACACAACTCACTGAATCTGTTGCTCTCTCACTCACTTTTCAAAAGAATAATAGCCAACACTCTTATTGGTGTATTATGACCCCTGCTTTGGTGATAATAACAGCGGAACTATATTTCACCTCTATAGCGACTATGGGAGGCCAAGGTTGACGGAAACAGACTGAGCCTTAAATACATCAGCCCAGATGGTGAGGAGAACTACCCAGGGGAGGTAACTCTGACAGTCACATAACCTAACTGACTGATGAGAATGAGCTGATCATTGACTACACGGCAACATCGACCAAGGCAACACCTGTCAACTTCACCAACCATGCTTACTTCAATCTGGGAGGCCATGTGAGTTCTGGTATTTGTGTTTCAGATGATTGTAGTCAAACTTGGCATCACAGATGTTAAATCGGACAAGTATCACTGTTGAATTAGATATCCAAGATGGAAACTTAACATGAAAATGAGAGACTCATATAGGAATATTGTTTAATGTGACTTTAGACAACAAAGATAAAGAGATACTGAATTGTCATGTTTCGACCAATAATTGCTCAAATAGAGATCCATGTGTTTTACATGAATTTACAAAATCTGTTTCCAGGCATCAGGGAAGATCGATGATCATCGTGTGCAGATCAATGCAGAACATTTCCTGCCTCTGGATGATAACTCTATACCTACAGGTACAAGTCTCTCATGTGATCTGCATTGGGTAGCAGGGCCTCCTTTCACAAAGCACTAAGGTGTTCGTAAGTCACTAAGGTAACCTTAGTGCAATGTTAAAGAATGGGAGTTAAGGTTAACCTTAGTAAAGGTTGCTTCGTGAAAGGAGCCCCTATATTGTAGACATTGTGACAACTGATTACAGTAACTGGCTTCGTGTTAGCTACAGAAATTGTATACCTGTGCTGCTCCCTTTGAACAATGGTGATACTGATCTGTCACAGATTTCACCTGTACCTAATATGTGTAAATCATGCTTCATGACAGTATGTTTTTAAGTATTACAAGAAACTTTCAGAAATATGTTTTGAGAGGCAACAGTAACAAGTCTCAAAACTTCAGGAATTTGCTTTTTTATCCTTCATTGCATTTCTGAACTTGTCTTAATTGAATCATAATTCTCAATGTGTACCTATTACACACATTTTCCAGGTGAGATCCGGAAAGTGGAGGCAACGGAATGGGACCTGAGGTCCCCTGTACGTCTTGGGGACCGACTTGGGCAGGTGCCTGGTGGGAAGGGGTTTGACCACAACTTCAACCTGTCTCTGTCTGGTGAAAAGCGTCTGGCAGCAAGGTTGAGTGAAGATTTTTAATTGTGATTGACGACATATTCCAATATAAGTATAACACCAGCATACGAGGAAAGTTTTCCATAAAGCTTACATAAGTACCCGAGGCATTCTTTTTGAATCTCTGAACTGCCTGTGATGAAGTCAGTGAGAGTGTTTTATGCCGACAGGGTGGAGCACCCGCCAAGTGGGAGGTGGATGGAGTGCCACACCACGGAACCAGGGGTGCAGTTCTACACCAGCTTCTATCTGCAGGATGTGGTGGGGAAAGCAGGGGCCATCTACTCCCAGTACGGAGGATTCTGCCTGGAGGCTCAGCACTACCCTGACAGCATCAATCAGGTGGGTCAGCACTACCCTGACACCATCGATCTGGGGGATCAGCACTTCCCTGACACCATCAATCAGGTGGGTCAGCACTACCATGACACCATCAATCAGGTGGGTCAGCACTACCCTGACAGCAACAATCAGGTGGGTCAGCACTACCCTGACACCATCAATCAGGTGGGTCAGCACTACCCTGACAGCAACAATCAGGTGGGTCAGCACTACCCTGACACCATCAATCAGGTGGATCAGCACTACCCTGAGACAATCAATCAGGTGGGTCAGTACTACCCTGACAGCAACAATCAGGTGGGTCAGCACTACCCTGACAGCAACAATCAGGTGGGTCAGCACTACCCTGACACCATCAATCAGGTGGGTCAGCACTACCCTGACACCATCAATCAGGTGGGTCAGCACTATCCTGACAGCATCAATCAGGTGGGTCAGCACTACCCTGACAGCATCAATCAGGTGGGTCAGTACTACCCTGACAGCATCAATCAGGTGGGTCAGCACTACCCTGACAGCAACAATCAGGTGGGTCAGCACTACCCTGACAGCATCAATCAAAGTGGGTCAGCTCTACCCTGACACCATCAATCAGGTGGGTCAGCACTACCCTGACACCATCAATCAGGTGGGTCAGTCAAGTAGATCAGCATTACCCAGACAGTAACGATATGGGGATGTATTTGTCTGATGGCCGATCTGAAGACCAGTTCAAGATATCAGTGTTCAACACATATGAATCTGTGATGACAATTCATCAAAATCTGATTACGTTTGTTTCTGTTTCAGCCAAGTTTCCCGAACTGTGTTTTGCGTGATGGGGAAACCTACAGACAGACGACATCTTACAAGTTTGGCATCAGCAGCTAAACTCTACAGCTGAAACATTTTCCTTTTCAAAATGCAAACCAACTTTACTGGGCACATTGATAGACTACTGCCAGTCTAAAAAAGTCTTCATATAGAGGGAGGTCTTGGGATATCTTATGAAGAAGTAGCAACTTAATGATGTGCGACTGATTGTCTCGATTTTCTTGGCAGCCACAACTCATAGGGAGGTTTTTGTACTTTACAGCAGTTATTGGTTATACAAGCTTAAATAATATATGAGAGTCCATGTTTTTAAAAAACTCTGGTGTGTTGATTCACATGATGTTGAAGGATGTTGAGAGAGCCAATTACGTTCTCAGCATCTTAGATACCAACACAATCAGCGATGTTACAGATGCAGATTTGTTTTTCATTTGAGTTGATTGTCAAAACCGATGATGTTTGAAAAGATTGATAATGGACTACATTGTGCAATGTCTAGCCCTTAAGGTGGATTTTGTGGACTGAGAAAACACACTCCCAAATATATTGAAATATTGTTTAATTCAAGCATAAGTTAAGTAATTCATCACCTGAGTGATGGTGAAGGAGGTAATGCTATAGAAATAGCATTACCTGTTGATGCTATCCCCCTTCATGGTGTAATAACTAACTTTATCATCCAAAACTGTGTTCCACAGGAGATATCGCTTGTGTGAGATCAAACGATATCTCCTAGGAGATATCGTTTTGACAGTAGATTTTGTACAATGCCCTGACAATGCTATGACGTCATGTACTTGATGACGTCACAATGCTATGACATCGCTGCACTGCAAGTCTAATGGCAGTAAAAAGTTCAGAGATGTACATTTTTCATTGAAAATTAATGAAGAGTGACTTTGGATGATAAATAGAATCTCACCCTCGTGGTGGTGAGTGAGTGAGTTGTGTTGGCATCACTTTGAACAGCATGTCTCATATTTGGTTGTTGACCTACAAGGGTTATTGCCCATGTTTCTGCAAGTCCAGGTCATTATGACAACTTTGATATGGCTGAAACATTGCTGACTCTCAATCTTATATCACCCGCCTCCATGGTCGGTAAGGCATTTATGAATAGAGTGTATAGTAATATCAGTTAGTTTGCAACTTCTTTAGAGTTGTGTCGTTTTACAAGAACCTTTATACTGGGTTTTGTGTTGCATTTAGTCGAGTACTGAGAAAATATTTTGTTGATGCCAATCTCTTGCTCCTCTGTCTTTGTATGGCCGAGGCTATATTAGAAATTATGAGGTTATGCGTTGTATCGTTGAACAGTGAGTGAGTGAGTTGTGTTGGCATCACTTTGAACAGCATGTCTCATATTTGGTTGTTGACCTACAAGGGTTATTGCCCATGTTTCTGCAAGTCCAGGTCATTATGAGAGCTTTGATATGGCTGAAACATTGCTGACTCTCAATCTTATATCATCCGCCTCCTTGGTCGGTAAGGCATTTATGAATAGAGTGGAAAGTCAGTAGCTTGATACCAAGCGGTATTAAAGAATAAAAAGTTGGGGAAAAACGACTGTTGTTTGTTTGGGGCCCTGCCTGCCCATAACACATAGCATTCATGATTTTGGGGAAAAACAAGGACTCTTGTTCTGATTTGGGAATCATTGGGAGCAATGTCAACTCACTCACTCCATGATCTATTATTTTCCAAGGTTTGCATCTCATGATTTTTGGTGTCACCAACTGCACTTGTCAAAACCCCCATCGTGATATTGCTGGAATATTGCTAAAAGCAGCGTAAGCCATACTCACTCAAGCTTGATCTATTATTTTTCTAGGTTTGACAGTACATGGGCGGAATGGTGAAGCCCATTTCCAACTGCGCCGTGATGTTGTCAAAATATTGATCATTATGGGCTTTTAATGGAATACAGTTAAAAGTAGTCTTAAATCCAGTTCACTCACTTATGTTGTATCACCAGAGCATGGCAGCTGAGGGACACACCATTGGCCCAACTTGTTCTATGCCCGGCCAAGTAATATATGAATAAACTGAGGCTAGTTAATTAGTGTGAATGGTAATGAGGGAAACAGAATGCACGAGTCAACTACCTTGTGCAGATGTTGTGGATGATAGGTTTTATTAGATGAGTCATTCCATGGAATGGAAGTAGGTGTTTATAATTGAGCACAAGTTGTTAAGTTTGTCAAGTATACATTGCACTTAGTGCCATGGAAATATTTTGTAAGAAATGTCTATATTTTATTGAGAGATTATGGAGAGTTATAGATCCATGACGGCAGTATGTTTTACAAATGTATTAAACTGCATGAAAAAGACAGTTTGCCTTTGCTTTTGTCACAGATCAGCTGATTGAATGTCAGGCCTTCATGTCACTTTTGGAATTGGCAGGCTCACGAGTAAGTTCCAGCAAGTATAAGTCCATTTAAACACGGGGACTGTTCAGATATGGCACAATAACGGGGACAGAGACAATGCCTGAATTGTCAGCTCCACCTATGGCACACGGGGACAATGTATCAGCTCCACCTATGGCACTAGAAACACGGGGACAATGTCATCAGCTCCATGTCTATGGCACTAGAAACACGGGGACAATGTGTCTAGCTCAGCTCCATCTATGGCACTAGAAACACGGGGACAATGTGTCAGCTCCATCTATGGCACTAGAAACACGGGGACAATGTATCAGTTCCATCTATGGCACTAGAAACACGGGGACAATGTATCAGCTCCACCTATGGCACTAGAAACACGGGGACAATGTATCAGTTCCATCTATGGCACTAGAAACACGGGGACAATGTATCAGTTCCATCTATGGCACTAGAAACACGGGGACAATGTGTCAGTTCCATCTATGGCACTAATATCAGAGGGACTTGCTGATCGGATCTCGGCTCTATCACAAGACAACCCTAGCGATCAGCATGTATCGCCTCCAGTAAAGCTGGCCTGCAGCCTTGGTCACGACCCGCAGCTTTAAATACCATCACTTCATCAGAAGTCTTCCCAGACATTCAAGTTATGGACCACAACTCCCGCTTCAAGGAGCGCTTCACGACTGCAAGCGGTAGACGTATCTTAGCCCTCACAATCCACACTGACCACTCAGACCTCCATGCAGGATCTTACATCCAGAGGCCGTCTCCATCCCAGGTACATACACGATTTGATCAACCCTCATCGAGGGACGGAGCTGGACTCTATCATATTACCCACGGCGCTAGCGTTCATGGACCCCGCATGGTGGAACATTCCAGACAATGCTGTCCACGGGACTCCAATCAGGATGCCCCAAGCAGATCGTCAACTGTTCATGGATGCATTACTCACATGGACTGGGTGCTCATATCGACAACAAGACGACATCAGGTCTCTGGGTGGAGGATTCTCCAGTCCATTTTGGAGATGAAGGCAGTTATTCCAGCTGTCCAGCACCCTTCTATACCTGTCGCCACGGACAATTCTATGGTAGTAGCCAACATCAACAGTCTCTGAGGAACCCACTCTCAAGTCCTCATAGTTCTCACGAGAGAACGTGACGACCTGCCTGACAGTCTGGAGTGCAACATTTCTAACAGAGACATCCCAGGGAAGATCAGTATCTTTGCCGACGCTCTATCTCGTCCGGGCAAGATTCCATCCACGGAATGGACTCCTTCAGGCAGATAGCACAAAAATTGCGTCAACTGCACACGTCAACAACCAATTGCCAATATCAGCCTAGTTCCAGATCCTCCAACCTCCAACCAAATACTCAACCTTTTGGGGATACTCCACTTATGGACCTGGCCTCAGACCACAGTTACCCCCATTAACTTTTACCATGACCCGGAAGGAAAATAGGAGAATATAGTGCCTTGTTGAAATGGGCTGTTCTGTGTGTGCTTATTTTTTCAGGGTGACTTGTGATAGCTTAAATGAAAGGTAAGACACTGTACTTTATTGCAAAATGTTTTTGGTCCACAATCTACACATGGTATTGACACCAGCCTTCCATGATTTGACCCAAAGTTCAAGGCTGTCTAGTGTGTTTCGGCTCGTAACTTCCGGTGACCATTGTTTACAGTGGATACAGCAAAATTGCCATGGTCGATCCAGGCCCATATTTTGCCGGTTAAGTGACAAGTGGCAGGTTGGTAAGCATGCAACAGGAGAACAGCCTACGACCGATATTAATTATGGTGCACTGGCATGTCACTGTAGATAGCAAAGAAGGAAAATGATTGTGGTCTGAGGCCACCTGGTCCGGCTCGGTTCCACAGCTTACTGCATGTCATCATCTCTACGTATTAGTTAACAAGTTGCTCATTATGTCAATCACTAAATTGTCGGACCCACTGCAGCGTATAATAACAAGCTAGCCTGTACACTCAGCAATTATATTCTGATGTGCCTGCTCCAGAGAGTGTTGATGTACAAACACTCGCTCACTGAACCTGTAAACACGCAAGACGCGTACACACACGTGCAATACAGGATAAAATACAAGTAGTTGTTTTACACGCAGGGAAATGTTTTAAAACACCATTTCACTGTGTGCACGCCATTAAGCTCACTGTGAAACGCGAGTACTGATTGTTCATTTAAAGTAGGGGCGGTGGGGTAGCCTAATGGTTAAAGCGTTGGCTCGTCACGCCGAAGACCCGGTTCGAATCCCCACATGGGCACAATGTGTGAAGCCCATTTCTGGTGTCCCCCGCCGTGATGTTGCTGGAATATTGCTAAAAGCGGCGTAAAACCAAACCGTGTCAGTCAGTCAGTCATTTAAAGTAATAAAATGCGACAAATGTTTTGAGACGAGCCCCGCTGTCACAAGAGAAGATAACTGTCCCGACCTCCTCTGATTTGTATCACCGTGTATCACAGTCGGTGTCTGTCACAACCAGCCATGCCGATCTCGACGGATTCATTTGGTAAAACAGCAGATGGCAAGGAAGTCACAAGGTGAGATGGTGTTAATGTTGACCATATGTAACAACATGGTCACTGATGGCCATCTTACTGTGAGCAGTTATATACTTGAGTTATTTAATGGGGTCAGAGAGGGTGTTATCTCTGCTGATGCTCACCGAGAATCTGGGACGCTATTGTCACGTTATAATTTGTACAGGCTCCTCTGTATACGACCCTAATACGACAGATAGTGAACTGACCACTAGCCCTGCATATGAATGAGCTTGAGCCAACACAGCCGTTTATACAGAATGAACATGAAGCTAGGGTTATAGAAAACTCAAGGGGACCACTACTTTTAGCTCGTTGTAGCTGTATTTCGTTACATTCATTTTGACCAAAATATACAGCCAGTGGTGGTTTCTAAAATAGTTCGTTACATCCGTTAGTTCGTAATAGTGTTCGTAATAAAAGTAGTTTACTGAAGTTGTTTAGCATGTACATGGTCATCGTCATCAGGGCGGTGGGGTAGCCTAGGGGTTAAAGCGTTCGCTGCTCATACTGAAGACCCGGGTTTGATTCCCCACCTGGGCACAACGTGTGAAGCCCATTCCTGGTGTCCCCCGCCGTGATATTGCTGGAATATTGCTAAAAGCGGCGTAAAACCCAACTCGCTCACTCACTCATCGTCATCAGGGCGGTGGGGTAGCCTAGGGGTTAAAGCGTTCGCTGCTCATACTGAAGACCCGGGTTCGATTCCCCACCTTCCAGAACAAGAATTACGTCATTTCTGGTGTCCCTAGCCGTGATATTGCTGGAATATTGCTAAATGCGGCGTAAAACCATACACTCACTCACTCATCGTCATCACCTATATAGACATGTGAGTGCATCCTACGTGCTTACCAAGGACAGGAAAAGATCGGTAACAATGCATGCATATCTGCCTACTTTCTAGCCAACATAACACCTGATACTCTAGGCGATATGTGATTTGGAGAAGATATATATGTTACCAGCTGTTGCAATCCAGGCCTAACGTTCTCCTGCAGCCGTAATGCTTGATGGCCCTTCAACATTTGTCGAGCGTTGAGGTATTCTAGTGGTTAAAGCGTTCGCTCGTCACGTCGAAAATTCGGGATCGGTTCCCCTCATGGGTACAATGTGTAAAGCCCATTTTTGGTGACCCCCACCGTGATATTGCTGAAATAATGGTAAAAGCGGCGTAAAAACTGAACTCACTCACACTCATTAACATCAGGATTGACCCGTGAAGGTCCGCGTTAGAATATTGGCCTTCAGTAACCCATACTTGTCGTAAGAGGCGACTAACGGTGGTCAGGCTCGCTGACTTGGTTGACACATGCCATCGGTTCCCAATTGCGATGCGATCGATGCTCATGCTGTTGATCACTGGATTGTCTGGTCCAGACTCGATTATTTACAGACCGCCGCCATATAGCTGGAATATTGCTGAGTGCGGCGTAAAACTAAACTCACTAACATCAGTATTCCTTCTGGTCAGCCCTGTAAGCATACTAAGGTCAATAGATCCCAGAACCCGTTCGAGCCCACTCGAATGAATAATGTTCCTCATGATATCACCCACGAGTGTGTCGACCAGGTTCGGTTATTTAAATAATTTAGATGAACTGACAATATTACCCAGTTACACAATGTTGTTGCTATCAGTTTTCCATAGTATACCAATCTAACCTAATGGGTGTTCTTGGTGCGCAGTGACAAATGCCGCACTACCCAGCAGATTGCACAGACTACCGGAATGTGCAACTGCACAGCAAACACCAGGAACATGCGACACTAGCCAACTTTCATGACATGTGCTTCTGTAACTAGCAAAGCTGTACCGTCTTAGACGTGTACAGTTGACATTATTGCGTTTGTTCTGTCAGATCATGCAGTTTGAATACGTGTTCTGGCCTTTTATAGCCAAAGTTCCACTATTTAAGAACACGACACTGACCAAGGACAGCGTCACCGTAAGGTGTTTTCCTCGTTTCAAATAAACCTTCCAGACCAAGAACAACATCATAGTAGCACGTTTCCTTATTGCAGATACACCTTCCAGAACAAAAACAACGTCACCGTGAGAGTCCTGGACTATGGCGGCATCATCACTGACATCATCGTCCCCGACAGGGACGGCAAGATGGAGGACGTCAACCTCGGCTTTGATGACATGGAAGGTGAGGACGAATAGCAACATACGTGATTCTCGATAACTTTATTCTCAAACAATTACAGTGACAGTATATTTTCCCTTGTACAATATACTTATAGACAATGAAAACAACCACCGACGACCTGTAATGATTTGAGATCATCTTCTGTTCATAATTTCCTCCACGTCACAAGGCTATGCCGGGGGCAGATTCATGGGTGCTCTGATCGGTCGGGTGGCTAACAGGATCGCTGGTGGACAGTTCAGTCTTGATGGCACTTCCTACTCCCTGTTTGTCAACAACGGACCCAACAGTTTGCATGGAGGAAAGAGAGGATTTGACAAGGTGGGTTTAAGTCTCCAACTGTGTTTGGCTTCACAACGATGCACCTGATAGCATCCCTTGTCAAAGCCATCTCTCAATTGGTATTGTGATGAAGGAAATACGTCTGGGTCTGTTGATTGTGTCGAAGCTGTGGGAAAACACTCGTCATGTTTCTTAATTACAGGTAGAGGAAAATGTCAGGTGTTCAACAAATATGATAAATATCACTATAGATTGTCCCCACAAAACGACAGAAAAAGCTTCCCTGCCATAATCTTTGAAATCAGTTCTGAAGAGTGTGGTTTTATGCAAAGACTTATGCCGTGTCCTATATATTTAATTCGATATTGCAACATGTCTAGAGATTCTGGGAGGCCAAGGTTGACGGAAACAGACTGAGCCTTAAATACACCAGTCCTGACGGTGAGGAGAACTACCCAGGGGAGGTAACTCTGACAGTCACATACGAACTGACTGATGAGAATGAGCTGATCATTGACTACACGGCAACATCGACCAAGGCAACACCTGTCAACTTCACCAATCATGCTTACTTCAACCTGGGAGGCCATGTGAGTTGCCACGTTTCATTAAACTTTCAGGACAAGCCAGATGTCAAAATGATATGTTTGTGAATTGATTGGTACAAACACCGTTGTGTCGAATTTACGGTAATCTCGAGGCAAAAGCCTGCGTGGTCACTGCTTATTCCTTCCTTAGTCATTATTTTGCGTTTGTGTCGAACTTCGGATAACTCGAAGTAATTACATATAGGTCTCGACACAACTTCGGCACAACGGTATTTGACTATGTAATGACCATGCACCAATGAATAACTACAGGAACCGATGGGGTCAAGGGAGTCTTACACCGGTTTTAAGCTTGAAAACGGTGTAACAATCTACACCGAAACCTCGCTGTATGCAATAATCTCACTTACTTCTAGAATGTCATCAAACATTAGGTTTTAAATCAACTATCACACTAACATGCACTCAAGCTGTTCGTGACGCGATTAAATCATGTTGTTTGTTGTCTTTTGCCAGGGCTCAGGGAAGGTTGATGATCACGTTGTACAACTCAATTCAGAGTCTTTCCTACCTGTGGATGACAACGCGATTCCCACAGGTAAATCAGTAACTACTGGTTAACGACGTGTGGTGAAGATATACAGGCAATTTTTTGAAATTCTACCTGTTATTACCTCATCATACTGAAGTGTCTGGACTGTTCCAGGTGAGATCCGGAAAGTGGAGGGAACGGAATGGGACCTGAGGTCCCCTGTACGTCTTGGGGACCGGCTTAGGCAGGTGCCCGGTGGGAAGGGGTTCGACCACAACTTCAATCTGTCTGTGTCTGGAGAAAGGCGCTTAGCAGCAAGGTTGGGACGTTGGACATGATGCCAATATTTCACAATGGATTAATACGGTAACATACGGTGAAAACGAACTTAAAGGGACCAATAATTTTAGTTCATTATAACAGCAGTTCGGTACAACCGCTTCGAGTAAAATATGAAGCTAGTGGCCGTAGCGAAAGAAACAGTTCGTTATATCCGTCGGTTCGTTACAAGCGTGTTCGGTATGAACGTAGTTTACGTAGGTTAACGGGATGTTTCAATATGGTGATGGTATCAACTATGATATAGTGATGCGTAAATAGATAAGCTTGTCAGGCTTCTTCAACTGCTGTCGTAACAACCATTCATCACCCCCAACAATAATGATAAACCGTTTGCCTGTCCGTATTTGTACGGCAGAGAAGCCACCCTTCCTAATCTACCTTTCAAAGAATCGGAGAAACCAGACATCCAAGCAGAGGCTTGTATCTCATGGTTTTGTTAGAAATATATTCTGATATTTCCGGAGACGAATACTGTGATGTCTTCGTTTAAGACTTAATACCCGCACTCTGTTTGTCTCGAACGAATTGGTTTATTCGAAAAGATTGGTGTTCCGTATGACAGGTCTGCTGTAGTTGTTAAAACGAGACTTGTATTTTGCTACATAAACTGATTGCAGAGTGGAGCACCCGCCGAGTGGGAGGTGGATGGAGTGCCACACCACCGAGCCAGGGGTGCAGTTCTACACCGGGTTCTTCATTAAAGACCTGACAGGGAAAGGTGGTGCCAACTACTCCCAGTTTGGAGGATTCTGTCTGGAGGCTCAGCACTACCCTGACAGCATCAATCAGGTGGGTCAGCACTACCCTGACAGCATCAATCAGGTGAGTCAGCACTACCCTGACAACGTCAATCAGTTGGGTCGACACTACCGTGACACCATCAATCAGGTGGGTCAGCACTACCCTGACAGCATCAATCAGGTGGGTCAGCACTACTCTGACAGCATCAATCAGGTGGGTCAGCACTACCCTGACAGCATCAATCAGGTGAGTCAGCACTACCCTGACAGCGTCAATCAGTTGGGTCGACACTACCGTGACAGCATCAATCAGGTGGGTCAGCACTATCCTGACAGCATCAATCAGGTGGGTCAGCACTACCCTGACAGCATCAATCAGGTGGGTCAGCACTACCCTGACAGCATCAATCAGGTGGGTCAGCACTACCCTGACCACTACCCTCGACAGTGTCAATCAGGTGGGTCAGCACTACCCTGACAGCGTCAATCAGGTGGGTCAGCACTACCCTGACAGCATCAATCAGGTGGGTCAGCACTATCCTGACAGCATCAATCAGGTGGGTCAGCACTACCCTGACAGCGTCAATCAGGTGGGTCAGCACTGAAAATCAAATATTCTAAACAAGACTATAGGAGTAATATTATGGTGGCTGGTATGGTAGCCTTATTAGCTTTGAGACAACAGAATCTATTGGAAATCAATATACCGAGATAACTAGAATATGAGGACACTTAACAAGACACGTCACCAAGCTTCAAGTTCTTATTTTTTCTCAGTTTTCTACCGTTTCTGAAAACTAAAATATCAGTCTAATCTATGACTTTTAAGGCAAAAATTAATAAAAGCTTCTATCTTTCTTTGTAATGCGGCAAATATGCACAAATCACTTGTATACAAAAGTAAAACAAAAAATCTTAATGCACAAAGATTCCTCTGTCTCCAAACTGTTCTCCGACATCGTTGTCCAACTGATTCTTAATGATGAAAACAAAAGCAGATTTAAAATATAGCCTCGTCTGACTTCAGGTCATACAGAAAAAAAACAATAAAGAAAAACACGTAAATGAAAAACACGTAAAGAAAACACGTAATGGTGTTGTACAAACAAACCATTTCCAAAAGGATGTTTTTCATCAATACTTATCTTGGCTCTTGTTCATATGTATTCCACAGCTGCCCGCTTTTTAAGATTTTACTCTACATGTTTCAGCCAAGTTTCCCCAACACCGTACTACGTCCCGGGGAGATATACCGGCAGACGACATCGTATACGTTTGGAGTCAGCACCTGAGAAACGTGAACTTCGACCTTCCTTGTCGTATTGCGATCAACGATGCTCCTACCACACTGATACTGAATACCTGGGTCTATGATAATTCAATATTTGGTTGTTATTTGGTCTTCTTGACCTCTGGAACCTGATTCAACTGTTATATGTCCTAATTCAAGCAGCATGAATTCTTTCTATCGGCTGGGGCAATGGACAAAGGTATAGCTTTTACGAATACTTCACATATATAGACGCACCTCACTCGTCAATATGTCAACTAATCGGCACATCCTTCAAAAGTTACACAGTGGAAACCACTTCAGAAAAGAAGAACAATTGTTATATTTACATGCAATGAATTTTAAAAATTTTAAAAACATCTTGTATATCTTTAATGACATCGTCAACTGGCTTTTATGATAGTTAAGACTTTGTAGATCCGACCAAAGCATTACAATTACAGTTATTTTGGATTGTCTTGGTGTTTGTTTTGTTTTTTTAACTAATATGTTACCGTATCGGCATGTCGGCGGAATGTAACAACGTGTGTATGTGTCCGGAAGTGTGTTCCTGTTCTTGTTTTACCAGGTACCATGTATGAACCAATTTCTGGCGATGATATTGCAGGAATATTGCTTAAAGGAGTGTAAAAAAACTCACTCACTCTTACTTTACCGATGTATGGTAAGTTGTAATAAGAGAGACTCGATCTTTACTCTTGACAGTGATCATGACCTTGAAACAAGATGTAAACAAACATGAACGTTTCAGTCTGTCTACACGTGGTTCGTAATTTTTTTATGTTGTCAGATATGTTCAGAACAGTAAGACTACAGATGGCTTTTCTCACAGTCTGACAATGGAAGTTCGTGCATCTCGTTTGATAAACATTGCAGACGGCCAAAGAGAACTTTGTTATACGAGAGTAATTTTTCAGACAGGTTACCAGTGACTTCTGAAAAGGTGCTCAATCGTCAAATATGCTCAGACATTCTGTGGATGTATTGAGTGTTCACTCACTCAAGGGTCCTGTGTTGTGACATGCAAGAATGATAATAATAATAAAATAAACATTCACCTGTGAGACATGATTATACTGTATTTCTGTATCGGATATGTTTTGTTTGTTTAACCCCGCACTCAGCAATATTCCAGCTACATGGCGTCGGTCTGTAAAAAAATCGAACCTAGACCAGACAACCAAGTGATCAACAGCATGAGCATCGATCTACGCAATTGGGATACGACGACATGTGTCAACCAAGTCACCTGACCACCCGATCCCTGTTAGTCGCCGTTAACGACATGAATGGGTTACTGAAGATCAATTCTAACCTGGATCTTCACGGCTGTATAACTGTCAACATTTCTCGAGTAGGAGTATGTTAGTTATTCGGCAGTAAACAAAGAGTCTATCATAAAATATGATAGAAATGTTTTGAGATGAACCCTACGGTCACAAGGGAAGATAACTGCCGCACGCTATTCATGACTGATAAGGCGTGTATCAACTGTCTGTCTCTCGACACAACCATGCCGATCTCCAAGGATGTATTTGGTAAAACTACAGAAGGGGAGGAAGTTACAAGGTGACATGAGAAGGGATTGATTTGTTCAGAGGTTCAGAGGGTGTTTGTATGTAGCGATCTTACTTTGAAGTCAAATCCTGGAGCTCTAGGCTGTTGAACAGGGTCAAGGACTTTGTTATCGCACAGAGAAACCAAAATAGAGCTTGGTACATACTATATCCCAGTGAAACCAGTTTTTAAGACGACTGTAATAGCTTTGCATAAACCTAGCCTTACAACAGTCATTGTAGCATCTATTTGTAGAACAGATCCCTACGACAGTCAAACTTGTATCGAGTTACCTGTATTGTCGTGTAAAATAACTGACTGTTGTTTTGTGCCGCAATCAGAACTAGTCCAGGGGCCCGATCCACAAAGCGTTCGTAACGTTACGAACTGTCGTAACTCTATAGTTTATCATAGGCTTACGAATGTCGTAGCGCTACGAACGCTTTGTGGATCGGGACCCAGCTTTATACCGATGACTCGGAAATTGTCGAGCATGTCTGTGTTAGACTGAACATCGGTGGCTGCCGTCGGCAAATGTCGGCCGAGTCACTCACTGTTACCAAATGATCATCATTAGCGTGTTTTTTGACAGGACAGTCACCTTCAATTTTTTATAGCAATTCATAGACACATGCGGGGCGGTGGGGTAGCCTAGTGGTTAAAGCGTCGGCTCGTCACGCCGAAGACCCGGGTTCGATTCCCCACATGGGTACAATGTGTAAAGCCCATTTCTGGTGTCCCCCGCCGTGATATTTCTGGAATATTGCTAAAAGCGGCGTAAAACCAAAAACTCACTCACTCACTCATAAACACATGCTCATGATATAGTCAGAATCATATAGTCTACACAGCTGTGAAAAGACATGCCTTATGATCATGGAAATGGCGTTTAATTCTTTTATTTCTCTTATATAGAGAGTGCCAATAACACATGATCCGATATAGCCCCATCGCTTGAATGATATATCAACTGAATGACACTTTACAGCGTGTCTAAACCATTCTACCTTGATATTCCTTACCTATTGGTCAGGTTCTGCATATGCATTCTCTGGAACGAGACAAATTACATGTTAAATATCGACATATACAGGCAACATTATTATACATATATGTTTTTAATGTTGAAGTGATTGTCTCGGTATAAATTAATCTTCCAATCTGAGATATTCACAAAATGTACTCATTTGGGAATTGAAGCGAACCCTTACCACCACATCCTACTTGCATTAGGCAAGGGGCCACAGCTTTGCTAGATAATATTGGACGTGTTTGTGCTTCCATTTTGTTACAATATGTAATGCCCTAAAGGAAAATGTACAAGTGTTAAACACATTTTGTTGTCAATTATTTTGATATTCACAGGATATATCCAAACGCGATGCATCTCCTGGCACACTGAAAGTTGTGATTTTGTAAATTGGTAACGTAAATGTAAACGGTTGCAACTGGTATCCTAGCGCTTGGCCTGCCGGATCATGCATGTTACCATGGAGATTGTACACGTGCCAAAGTTTCAGATACACGTCACAGACCAAGAATGTGTTTTCCTCGTTTCAGATAAACCTTCCAGACCAAGAACAACAAAATCATGACATGTTTCTTTATTGCAGATACACCTTCAAGAACAAGAACAACGCCATCGTGAGAGTCCTGGACTATGGCGGCATCATCACTGACATCATCGTCCCCGACAGGGACGGCAAGATGGAGGACATAAGCCTCGGCTTTGATGACATGGAAGGTGGGCAAGACATGTATATATCAAGACTTTTGCTTCAGTTAATGGCTGAGAATCCAATCCATATTAAACAAAATGCCCCTCACACATAGGGTGAAGCTGTATACAAAACATATTTTATCTATTGTATATTTTTTCATGATGTGAGGCTATGCTAAGAGCGGGTACGTTGGTGCTCTGATCGGTCGGGTGGCTAACAGGATCGCTGGTGGACAGTTCAGTCTCGATGGCACTTCCTACTCTCTGGTTGTCAACGATGGACCCAACAGTCTGCATGGAGGAACAAGAGGATTCGGGAAGGTCGGTGCTGTCTGGATTATGATGCCAACTATGACGGACCATGTCCAAAAACTATTGGTCCAAGCAACCCATGCTTGTCGTAAGAGGCGACAACGGGATCTGGTGGTCAGGCTCGCTGACTTAATTGGCACATGTCATCTTATATCAATTGTAGATCGATGCCCATGCTGTTGGTCACTCGCTTGTCTGGTCCAGACTCGATTATAGTACAGACCGCCGCCATATAGCTGGAATATTGCTGAGTGCGGCGTAAAACTAAACTCACTAACTCACGACTGTTTACAGAACGCTATCAAATAGCATGAACTATTTTGCAGAGTTAAATATGACTGACAAACAATCTGAGTCACTTAAGTTTCCTCAAACAGTCTGATAACTGAGCTGACTTTAAACGTCAGGTAATTCGTACGCCCAGTATTCATCTTATCCCGCCGCCATATTGATGGAATATTGCTGAGTGCGGTGTAAAACTAAACTCACTCACTCATCTTATCCCTAATCTCATCTCTGTTCTAGAGATTCTGGGAGGCCAAGGTTGAAGGAAACAGACTGAGCCTTAAATACATCAGTCCTGACGGTGAGGAGAACTACCCAGGGGAGGTAACTCTGACAGTCACATACGAACTGACTGATGAGAATGAGCTGATCATTGACTACACGGCAACATCGACCAAGGCAACACCTGTCAACTTCAGCAGCCACGGTTACTTTAACCTTGGAGGCCATGTGAGTTGCCATGGAAACTTCGAACTGGGGAAACTTGAGATGGGGAAAATATCTGAGGATTCTGGAGATTGGCGTGTTGTATTATTTATCGAGTCTAAAGATAAGAAACAATCCCGTGGTCAAGGATGTTAGCAGCGCGGTCAAAGTGTCAGACTATATCTGAACACAAGCCCCATGGAAGCATGCATGTTTACTTCACAAGTTTAGAAAGACACAATACAAATAACACAATACGACACAATATCAATATCTATAGTGCTAATGTAACAAAAAAATAGAGTCCTGTATATTTATTATCCTAAGTTAAATGACCGCAATATACACATGGTAGTTTCATCTGAACACATACAAGGTCAGCACAGTAACACATGCTTACACTGTATGGATTATTTTCAGATCCCCCCCTTCAATCATACATTACACCCTTTCTCCAAAGGGGATGTGTGACAGTCATGTTGCATATTTATGTTCTCAGGGCTCTGGGAAGGTTCATGACCATGTTGTTCAACTCAATGCAGAATCTTTCTTACCTGTGGATGACTACGCGATTCCAACAGGTAAGGTTCGTGCTGCCTGTGGTACATACTGACATCACCATGACGACTGTCAGTTGTTGTTTAACGTCGCACGCAGCGAGCCTGTAACTAAATCACATCTGGACAATTACGTCATTGATATTTTGAACAATGATCAAACCAATCAGTTCCATATAGTCTCATCCTACGATGACCATACGTGACAGGCACCGACTGCAACCATGAATCCCATGGTGATGACGTCATTGGGCGTTTTGTCTGTTCCAGGTGAGATCCGGAAAGTGGGGGGAACGGAATGGGACCTGAGGTCCCCCGTACGTCTTGGAGACCGGCTTGGGCAGGTGCCCGGTGGGAAGGGGTTCGACCACAACTTCAATCTGTCCCTGTCTGGAGAAAGGCGTCTAGCAGCAAGGTGGGAAGTGTGAAAATGATACAAATCTTTCCAGCGGGTAAATCCGGTCACGGGATAACAACAGTGTCAGTTTCACTAGGATATGATAAACTTTCCGTCGCTATGAAGCATTTCTTTCATGGGCGTCATCTTGCAAAAGCATTTATGGCCTCTCAAGTAAAACTGGCCAGCGTTTGAGTATAACAAGTCAGAATAACACGACGTGTGTCATCTGAAATGCACTTAAGAGTTTTCTTAAGGTCCTATGCCAACATACATGATGCGTTGTGCCAACAGAGTGGAGCACCCGCCGAGTGGGAGGTGGATGGAGTGCCACACCACAGAGCCAGGGGTGCAGTTCTACACCAGCTTCTATCTGCAGGACATGGCAGGAAAGGGAGGTGCCAACTACTCCCAGTATGGAGGATTCTGTCTGGAGGCTCAGCACTACCCTGACAGCATCAATCAGGTGGGTCAGCACTACCCTGACAGCATCAATCAGGTGGGTCAGTACTACCCTGACAGCATCAATCAGGTGGGTCAGCACTACCCTGACAGCATCAATCAGGTGGGTCAGCACTACCCTGACAGCATCAATCAGGTGGGTCAGCACTACCCTGACAGCATCAATCAGGTGAGTCAGCACTACCCTGACAGCATCAATCAGGTGGGTCAGCACTACCCTGACAGCATCAATCAGGTGGGTCAGCACTACCCTGACAGCATCAATCAGGTGGGTCAGCACTACCCTGACAGCATCAATCAGGTGGGTCAGCACTACCCTGACAGCATCAATCAGGTGGGTCAGCACTACCCTGACAGCATCAATCAGGTGGGTCAGCACTACCCTGACAGCATCAATCAGGTGGGTCAGCACTACCCTGACAGCATCAATCAGGTGGGTCAGCACTACCCTGACAGCATCAATCAGGTGGGTCAGCACTACCCTGACAGCATCAATCAGGTGGGTCAGCACTACCCTGACAGCATCAATCAGGTGGGTCAGCACTACCCTGACAGCATCAATCAGGTGGGTCAGCACTACCTGACAGCATCAATCAGGTGGGTCAGCACTACCCTGACAGCATCAATCAGGTGGGTCAGCACTACCCTGACAGCATCAATCAGGTGGGTCAGCACTACTCTGACAGCATCAATCAGGTGGGTCAGCACTACCCTGACAGCATCAATCAGGTGGGTCAGCACTACCCTGACAGCATCAATCAGGTGGGTCAGCACTACCCTGACAGCATCAATCAGGTGGGTCAGCACTACCCTGACAGCATCAATCAGGTGGGTCAGCACTACCCTGACAGCATCAATCAGGTGGGTCAGCACTACCCTGACAGCATCAATCAGGTGGGTCAGCACTACCCTGACAGCATCAATCAGGTGGGTCAGCACACCCTGACAGCATCAATCAGGTGGGTCAGCACTACCTGACAGCATCAGTCAGGTGGGTCAGCACTATCCTGGACAGCATCAATCAGGTGGGTCAGCACTATCCTGACAGCATCAATCAGGTGGGTCCAGCACTACCCTGACAAGCATCAATCAGGTGGGTCAGCACTACCCTGACAGCATCAATCAGGTGGGTCAGCACTACCCTGACAGCATCAATCAGGTGGGTCAGCACTACCCTGACATCAGGTGGGCATCAATCAGGTGGGTCAGCACTATCCTGACAGCATCAATCAGGTGGGTCAGCACTACCCCCTGACAGCATCAATCAGGTGGGTCAGCACTACCCTGACAGCATCAATCAGGTGGGTCAGCACTACACTGACAGCATCAATCAGGTGGGTCAGCACTACCCTGACAGCATCAATCAGGTGGGTCAGCACTACCCTGACAGCATCAATCAGGTGGGTCAGCACTACCCTGACAGCATCAATCAGGTGCACTACACTGGACAGTCAGCACTACCCTGACAGCATCAATCAGGTGGGTCAGCACTACCCTGACAGCATCAATCAGGTGGGTCAGCACTACACTGACAGCATCAATCATGTGGGTCAGCACTACCCTGACAGCATCAATCAGAAGGGTCAGCACTCCCCCCAGAGTATTTAAATGGTTTGTCAGCACTACACTGACAACAAAAGGAGCACTGTTTAAGGGGCAAGTTTTAAGGTGAATGAGTGAGTGACGGTTTCAATCAGTCTGTTGAACAATGATCAAGGCGAGGTGAATAAGTTAACTCTAACTTGGTTACCGTTAACTGACAGCCTACCAACAACGGTCACAGAGAAGTTGTTACTCTATATTAACACAACATACAGCAGCTCCACCACGTCTCCATCTGTTTCAGCCAAGTTTTCCCAACACCGTTCTACGTCCGGGGGAGACATACCGGCAGACGACATCGTATACGTTTGGTGTGAGCTGCTGAGGAACGGAAACTTCGATCTTCCTTGTCGTATTTCGATCAGTTCTCTAACCCGACCCCTAACCCCCACACAACAGACACGCACATCCATCCCTTCCTGTTCATTGAAGAGCTATTTTAAGTGGTGTCTTTAGAATTGTGCACGTAAGGAAGCTCCCGGCATTGAGCATTTTTCATATTTTCTGGGTATTTAGGACTGTATTTTTCTGTTGTAGAAAAATGTCTGGTTATGATGTAATCTGATCCATGTGACCTCCTGGTTCCACAAAGCGATTTTAACGCCACGGATGTCGGAAGTCAGTGTTAAAGATTAGGAGTTATACCGACTTAGGAGTCAAGCGACCGTTACACTTGATTAGAGAAACACTCTGAAGTCCGACTGAAGCTATTCATCTGATAGTTACTCACGTAAGAACATAGTATTTTCGTTAACTGTTTGTTATTTAATTCTTTCAAATAAAAACCTTTTGTTAATAGTACCTATTTTACACACAGGCTTGAAGTATATATGTCAGGCGTCAACGCCAGAGAATAATCTGTCGAATCATTTGCCGACCATGACAAAATGGTGGTGAAAGAATGGGTCTCTGAAAAACTTTAATGACTCCAGTTTTTGCGAGTAAGTCAACAACCACATTACAACAAGCACAGTTTGTTTTGACACCTTATACACCGGACTAAACCCCATACATGTGGTAAACACATATGACCAGGGCCTTGATTTTCGAAGCTCTCATAGCGCTAAGATAGTCGTAAGTGCCATACATTAACATTAACTTACGACTATCTTAGCGCTAAGAGAGCTTCGAAAATCTAGGCCCAGGGCCCAATTCCTCAAAGCTATCGTTTACGAGTTTACGAGTTACGATCATCTTAGCGCTACGATCACTTTGTGGAACGGGGCCCTGGGCCTAGATTTTCGAAGACTCTCTTAGCGCTAAGATAGTCGTAAGTTAATGTTAATGTATGTCAGTTACGACTATCTTTGCGCTAACAGAGCTTCGAAAATCTAGGCCCTGCAGGTCCAGAAAACGTTCGTAGTGCTACGACATTCGTAAGCCTATGATAACCTATAGAGTTACGACAGGTCGTAACGTTACGAACGCTTTGTGGATCGATTCCCTTCATCGCTTCGGAATTCCTTCCACATTAATACAAACGAACCTCACGGATGAACAACTTCTTTATTCGGGTGATGCGACGTTTCGATACAGACCAACTTCTAAATATGCCACTCAAAGAAATAAATAGGAACGCTTGATACTGTTCCAAGCCGCGTTAAACGGAACAACTCACTCATTTGCCAAGGTGGTAGATATGTTAGACCTGCACCGTTTCGGATTTCCCCCACATTAATAGACAAGCCTAGTAGAACTGAAATACTACTCGAAGTGGCGTTAAACTCTCAGTCACTTGCCAGTTTACTTATTTATTAAAAAACCTTTATATTTCATAATTAGACTGAAGAAGCCAATGGTACTGACACATGGATTTTCCCCTACATGTTGTGCATGGCCATAGTTCACCAACACAAACATCAACATGTTTTTGGAATCGGATATGATGTGGCTCTTAATCTTTGTTTTCGGACTGTGGTCAAGCTGACCCTGACTCGTTAATAGTTATCTAACAAACCTCACAAACACGACTTAGAAACCTTTGGGTGACGTCTACTGTGCTGCAATAACGAACGGTCAAGTGAATCTCGGATATATTGTACCGATCTGAAGTAACAGGGAAATCTCGCCATTGGATTAGCGACTCCTTTTTGGCTGTAATCGCGTTTCAGCTGATAATCCGCTCATAGGGACAATAGTAGGATATGATATGGACCTGGTGGACCGTTGTGGATCATGGTCAGACGCTTGCTGACTAGGAACAGGTGCGCAGCTGGAGTTGTTGTGAAAAAGAGCGTTGTGAAAAAGTTGAGTGCAGTTGGAAAAATCGCTCAATCCAGAAATACTGATTGCTGTGGGAGTGGGTGGCAGTTTCAACGTTGTTCTTATCCCATGGAAACAACCTTGGTGTTACGTTACAAAGATGGTGCGAGTCGTTTAGGAAGCAATCTGGTGAAGTGTGGAATCTGGAGGATACAGAGTGGTAATTATTGTCCGCTTTGGATTCATGACACTTGATCCTGCTTGAAAGAAGAGGTAACCTAATTGTAAAAATGCACTCTGTTGATACCTGATCACTTGGAAACTGAACAATATTTTGATATTACACGGTGGCTGGTTGTGTCTGTGCCACCATAATGGCGGAGGTCAAATTGCCAACATTTGAGACGTCGTACGTGGCTCGGGACTTCGGACTCGACATAACTGTTCCCGACGGCGGCCTAGTGTCGTCTGCCGCCAGTCAGAGACAGTATAAGACTGAATGTGGAAGGATTTACAAAGAATTCATTGTAACGATGGGCGACTATTTCCAAGAGGAGGATTCCATTAAACAGCAGCTGAAACAGTTACAGAGTCAGAAAAATACTGGAAGTCATATTGGACGAGATGTTGATCAAGAGAGCCTCATGGGTGACACAATAAGTGCCATCTTTTCTCGCTTGGGGTCAAGAAAAGGAGGCTTCGTGACAAGTTACAGACCCCAGACTGCTGGAATGTGCGCCAAAAGACAACCAGTCATTGTACCTCACCCTCCCAACAGGCCGTCCACTGTAGCAGACTACTCCAAAGAGGTCAACATGAAGAGACGGTTATCCTACCCACGCCGACGTTCCTCCGTCCACCACTCTGTGGCGTCGGACCCTTTCGATGGTGTCATGGATCAGAAAACTCAGCACACACGAGAGCGTAAGCTCCGAATGCATGCGATAGCATTCTCCAAACTTCTTGCTGGAGAGGTTAACATCAAGCTGCAAAATAAAGACGGCAAGTTTGTTCTGAAGCACGCTGCGATGGCCAACTCAGGGGCTGCTTCTGCGACGAAGGGAGATACCAGTCGACCTGCAGATTACAAAGAGAAAATAGCGCTCGTGAGACAGAAGACGTCCTTCAAGTCCCCGACACTCTCGTCCGATCTGAAGATTAATAATTTGGTTGCAATTCAGAAGTCGCTGATGGGTCTTCCTTCCAAACGAATAACTGTAAGTGAAATCATGCGTAAAGCAGAAGACAGACGAGCGAGACTGTGCAAGGTGGAAGTGACAAGTGCGCAGGACCGGAACGGCGGCATATATGGTGAGGCGGGAAAGTCTGCTGTGGATGCTGATCTAGCAGACGACAAGGACGTTGTACCTGGGCACGATGGCGTCAAGCTCGTCAAGGTAGAGGCACGAAAAAGGCGGAATTCATCCGCATGTACCATGTCCCAGGATGGTAAAGACAACAGGAGGTTTAAGGAGTCCTTTCTTAATGCATTAGCCACACCTCGTGATGTCATCATGAACAGAACCCGAAAGAGTTATGATAGTACCCCGAGGGACATGTACATTGACACCAGTGCCAAAGACGATGATACCTGGGTATCTGACCAATCAGAGAGCGGGACCCCACGTGCCGTTACAGCACGTGACGCCGTGCAGCTGGTGAGGCGCTCCAAGGAAGAGGACAAGGAGCGAGAACGTCAACTGTTCAGATGGAGGCAAAGAATGACGTTTGCTGCCGTTAAAAGGAACGGTCTCGCGAGAGTCTTGTCAGGAACGGGAGCGTGCGTAACCCTAGGTTGATTGACGTCATATAAAGAGTGTGATGCGCCAGTGTTAAAGGGATGGTTTCATTCTGCTGTTGGCTTGCAATGTTAGGAGTTCTCCGAGAATTTTTAACAGGGTTTGACACACTGACATAATGACTACTCTTTTTGACCACATGATATCAACATGTGGTTTGAGACAATCGGATGCATGGTGCTCAAAAGTGACCAATTGTCGGGGGCTATAAATGCAGTTTGGACAGTCGGAATCATTGCCAGTTTTGTTGCACAGAGTTTAGTGTCTTTCTTCGTTTAACATTTCACGCTTTATGCAATAAACGTTCACTACCATTCACGACAATATACCTGTGATTAATGTGTACAGTATATCAGGCATATCAATGACGTCACCATGGTGTATGGAATGGACGATATGAAAAATAGTTGTCGGGTTATTTTCTCTTATTAGTATTATTCTTGACCATCCCAAATCCCCGATCCGAAATCCTAAATTCCTAATTCCTAATCACCTATTCCCCATTTTACAGTCCCATTTGATGAATAGCATTCCAAACAAGAATGAAATCCCCCCGTGGACACTTTGTCGTATTAATATGGTCGCATAAGCATTTGGCTTTCAACTGGCTAACGCCATCACATGGACCACTAGCCTGATCTGCAATAGCCCTGTGATTAGTGCCGGTCGTGTAAGCGGTCAGATATGTGCTAGGATCTGTACCCAGTTCACTGGAAATATCCACAGACACTGATCTTAAGTGTATTGAGAAATGTGTGAGGTGAGGTGAGGTGAAATTGGGTTTAACGTCGTGCTTGAGAATATTTCGCTCATATGACGACGTGCATGCGTGTGTATGTGTACGTGCGGCTGCTTGTACTAGCCCAGACTTAAGCTGGTTTTATAGTGCTAGCCCACTGAGATACCATGCCGCAGTGAAGCATGAATACCCCACTCAGACACATTATACTGACTCCGAGCCGACCAGTCCTTGTTGTACCCATTAATGCCGAGCGCCAGGCAGAGACCAACAAGTACCATATTTTAACGTCTTTTGGTATGACGCGGTCGGGGATCGAACCCGCGACCTTCCGCTCTCCGGGCGGACGCTCTAACCACTACACCACGGAGGCGGTCTTGAGAAATGTGTAGGGCGGGAGAGGTTGAATGGACTTGCCCTTGAATGTCAGAATGTCTGGTCCAGACTCGATTATTTACAGACCGCCGCCACATAGCTGGAATATTGCTGAGTGCGGCGTAAAACTAGACTCACTCCAGTACTGAACTGTATGAAGATAATTGGATTTTTCAGCATGATAACGACCCAAAACACACTGCGGGCTACACAAAACAGTGGTTGTCGGACGAAAATGTTCACGTTTAAGACTGACCCAGCTACAGCCGGGATCTAAACCCTATTGAGAATGTGTGGGGACTAATGAAGGACAGAATAAACCAAAACAGGACTTAGATTTTCTACAAACTTTGATCGGTAGTGTACCTAGGTGCATTCAGTCGTGTATCGCATGGCAAGGAGGTCTCACAAAGTACTGAAAAGACACTTAGACTGTAAGAGAATCATATTTCAACATATTCAATTAAGTAAAACTTCTATAGTTTATATACATGTATTAAATAAATATTCTCAATAATGTCTGGGAATACTATACAAACCCGCCTTAGTGTAAAACTGTTGAAAGTCTGTGTTAAAGTAAGGCACAAATGGTCGTCTTTTGCTTCCATTTAAATAAAAAAATAAAATGACAACCATTACTTAAGTAAGACACCGGCCATTTTTTATTTTATTTTTTATTAGTTATTCACTGATCTGAGTCCCACCTAAAGCATCTATAGCATCAGCTTAGCATTGGAACATCTACACCAGTTCTTCTGAAATGTGTCGTGTAGCATTGTTAAATGTAACAATAAGGCTTCAAAGACCTGACTTGTTATCACTATATCTTCATGAACTAAATTAACATTGTTATATTGATACTGCAGTCAATAGGTCCAGTTATTATTACTGTTATATCTCATATTTCAATAATGAGTGAGTAGATTTAGTTTTACGCCGCTTTTAGCTATATTCCAGAAAAGGCGGGATAAAGAAAATGGGCTCCACACAGTGTACCATGTGGGGGAATCGAACCCGGGTCTTCGGCGTAAAGACCGAACGCTTTAAACACTAGGCTACCCCACCACCTTTTTAATGCCTAAATAAGTATATATAAAAAAATACCTTCATTTCTATCTGTTACTTTAAAACTGATGACATAAACTATGCTATCCCAAAAAAGAAACGCATAGGTGATTTGTATTTTTTAAAATCTATTTCTTACCTATTGTGTTCAAACAATCGTCAAAATATTTAACAAAAGTGTTGAAAACATGATTTTACACAATTGCACAAGTAAAAAATCGATTTTATCTGAAAATGTTGATTTTGATGAGATTTCTTACAAGGATTAAAATGGCATCGCCACAACGCAACAGAAATCACCTTCCAGTTGAAATTGTGCAGCAAAGAGCATGCACTGTCTGGCAATAAAAATCCAGATTACTTTCGGAAATTGGCATTCTTCTGTTGCCAGGCGTCTGAATGTTAGTCTGAGCACGATATCACGGCTTGCAGCGCGTTACAACCAAACAGGTATAACAAATGACCGTCCCCGTACAGGCAGACCTCGAATCACCACTGCAGCCCAAGATCGGTACATCCGGGTACTACATTTGCATGACCGTACTACCATGGGTGAGAGCACAGCAGCCAGGGTGCCTGGACTTCGGATGATATCCAGTCAAACTGTACGGAACAGGTTGAAAGAGATTGGACTAAGAGTCATGCTACGTCGTCACCATCGCGCTCAACGTCTCCGTTATCTATAAGTATGCACTTGGTTGTATAGACATTACCTTCTTCTAAACTGGTGTAAAAATTCATGCACTAACGTCTATATGTGGACGAGTTATACATGTTTGAAAATACAACATTTTCGCAACAGATTTCTGGCCTATGCGTTTCTTTTTTTGGATAGTATACATGTAAAACTAATTTTAGGGCAAGCGGGGTTTTTATCGAGGAGTATGTATTTCTGAGCATTGCATATATTTTCTGTGTTCATCGGACCTATATTCCCTGAAGATTTACAAGTTACCTAGACACGTAGACACGACATGACCTCCCCCTGGGTAGCCCCACGTCTCACGGGTATATGGGTATTGCCGTGTGCCCGGGTCAATGAGGACTAATGTGACCTGTAAACAAACTTGTATCGATTCCATCGATTTATTTCTGCCTAAATCGCTGTGGTTTAATGGAGTTAAGCATTGCTCTAATCTTTAACACAACTACACTGCATAGCACACGGCAACGGTGAAGGTTGGTGCTGTCTGCCAACCCTCTATAAGCCAACGCTAGTAGAGTTATACCTCGCACAAACCACTTTTTTCAAAAACTTTGTATTTTCAGGGCGTATTTTCCTTAGAATAAAACTCTGTAAAACGTACATTTAATTGACCATAATCACAGAGGAACCAATAAATTGTGCTCTGAATGGGATAAATGCATGTTGAATGGGATAAACGCATGCTGAATGGGATAAATGCATGTTGAATCTGGTAAATGCATGTTGAATGGGATAAATGCATGGTAAATGCATGTTGAATGGGATAAACGCATGCTGAATGCTGGATAAATGCATGCTGAATATAGATGATGAATGCATGCCGTATGCCATGTTGATGGCATAACATGCATGTTGAATGCATGTTGAATGGATAAATGCATGTTGAATGATATAAATGTATGTTGAATGGCATAAATGCATGTTGAATGATATAAATGCATGTTGAATGATATATATATGCATGTTGAATGGCATAAATGCATGTTGCAATTATATAAATGCATGTTGAATAATAATATATATGCATGTTGAATGGCATAAATGCATGTTGAATGATATAAATGCATGTTGAATGATATATATATGCATGTTGAATGGCATAAATGCATGTTGAATAATATATATGCATGTTGAGTGGCATAATGCATGTTGAATGATATAAATGCGTGTTGAATGGCATAAAATGCATTGAATGTTGATGTTGATATAGATGCATGTTGAATGATATAAATGCATAAAAGTCATAAATGCATTGAATGCATAGATGTCATTGAATAGTATAAATGCATGTCGAATGTATATATAGATGCATGTTGAATGATATAAATGCTTGTTGAGTGATATAAATGCATGTTGAATGGCATAAATGCATGTTGAATGGCATAAATGCATGTTGAATGATATAAATGCATGTTGATGATATAAATGCATGTTGAATGATATAAATGCATGTTGAGTGGCATAAATGCATGTTGAATGATATAAATGCGTGTTGAATGATATAAATGCATGTTGAATTATATAAATGCATGTTGAATGATATAAATGCATGTTGAATTGCATTTATGCCATTCAACATGCATGTCGAATTATATAGATGCATGTTGAATGATATAAATGCTCGTTCAGTGATATAAATGCATGTTGAATGGCATAAATGCATGTTGAATGATGTAAATGCATGTTGAGTGGCATAAATGCATGTTGAATGATATAAATCGCATGTTGAATGATATAAATGCATGTTGAATGGCATAATGCAAATATAAATGCATAAATGCATGTTGAATTATATAGATGCATAAATGCAAATGCATGTTGAATGGCATATAAATGCATGTTGTTGCATAAAATGCTTGTTGAGTGATATAAATGCATGTTCAATAGCATAAATGCATGTTGAATGATATAAATGCATGTTGAATGGCATAAATGCATGTTGAATGTGATAAATGCATGTTGAATGAGATAAATGCATGTTGAATGAAATGGATGCATGTTGAATACAATAACTGCATATACTTATTATCGTTATTACCTTACTAATCAAAGGCATGTACATTTTAAGAAATCAAAACGTGATACAACAATGAAAATAAAATGAAAACTGAAAGAACTGGTACTAAGCTTAACTGGAGGGTCTTGAGGGTATATCCTGTATTCTGGATGAAGTAAACCCGAGATCGACTCTGGCAGTAGGTGAGTGGTGCTTTTTGACGAAATGAACAGCAATATTACAGCTATCCCACGTTGATTGTCCATGAAATATACTTTACGGTCAGTTCATTTCATCGAATATCCCAAGTAGTAACAGGGTACCTGTTGATATGTGGAGTGAGTGAGTGAGTTTAGTTATACGCCGCACTCGGCAATATTCCAGTTATATGGCGGCGGTCTGTAAAGAATCGAGCCTGGACCAGACAACCCAGTGATCAACAGCATGAGCATCGATCTACGCAACTGGGAAACAATAACATGTGTCAACCACCCGAAACTGTCGGATTCGAACGACGATCATATGATTCTGTCACCAAAATTCTGATACCTTAGACTTAGACTGAAATATTCAATATTGTAGCAGCACTACATAAGCATTAACAATTACAAAGTATTAACAGCTCAATTACAAAATTACAGTAAATAAGCGAATCATTCAACAAACATAGAAAATTACCCCCTAACTTTAAACCCCGGTTGCACGCAAACCCGGTTTAGACAGATTTGTCACCACTTTTTTTATAAAACCATAGTTACGCCGCTGTAAAACTATTCAATAGTGGGATAGGGTTGGAGATTGTAAATTGGGTCTCCCAGTAGACATTTAGAACGAAGGAGGTTCATAAGGGGTAACTCGAGCTGCAAGTTTTGTATCCATAACCTGCTCAGGCCTTGCGCTAGCAGCCCACGACATTGTTTTGTGCCATTGAAGAATAAAAGGTGGCACATTATGACACATTTGATCAGGGCATGGCGTGCAAGCAGCCCTCATCACTCTCAATGACCCCTGCCAAACACGGTACACAACCAAAGTGCGTTCACAGCTTTAACTACTGTTACTATCAATCACAGCTTTTTGAATCACTGAAAGATCCATGTGAGATATGCTCATACGTCTCCGGGGATTGATAATACATGCAAGGTAAACACTGTTGATGCCCTGGCCACTTAACTCCTGTCCTTATCTAGAGTCACGGCTCCTATCTCAGTCAGTGCACATTCGGCTGGTGTTGGCGTCTGTTCTCTGTGGTTGAGTAGAAGTGACGCCACAGTTGTGAAGCCAGGGGTAGACTGAAGTACATAGTTTGGTGAAGATGGGAGTTATACCACAAAAGTCATCTCAGTGGTAGAGGCACACGACTTGGATAAATGGTTTGATTGTGAGTGAGGGTTCCATTATTGTTGGTAAAAGTTGACTGTTACTCATTCGGATCACTGGACTGCCACAACTGAGGGACATCTCATGAAAAGGCGACTGAGACAGAAGTATTGGCTCTCTTGCCGAAACAACAGTCATACGAATTTGAGTGACGCAGACGACAAAGCAGAAGACATTGTTAAACAGAATAACGACCACGCTTTATGGTATATATTGTATGAAACTTGTGTGTTTTTTGAAGACATGATTGACACAATGTTTACGTAAGGAACTTATTGCCTTACTGAATCTTTTCAGCATATCACGTTACAGTCTGGGCTATTGACAACGGTATTCACCCAAGGACATTCCACCAAGCCATTTTGGACAAGCAAATCCTGCAGAGTGAACCCGTGTTCTGTGCCAGTGTACACACTGTTCAAGTCAAGCTGGAGTGCTGATATGAGTATACTATAGTATGTCACTCGAACATTATCACGGAGTTTCTCCAAGTCCATAATCTACATATATGCCTGTTCAAGTATTTACTAATGGCTATCAACGTTCCCCGAGGGCCTCCTTGGGTCTAGTGTTGTAATTACACTACATGAAAGGTAAACCATTCTGTAATATAATAGTAGTTGATGTGGGCCAGCGAACACTCATGTGCGATGTTAGTCGGTCACGCCATGGTGTGACAGGATATGTAAACATGGCGTAACTGGACTCTTCCCTATCAGACAAACACTACCCAACAAAGGTCACTACAAAGACAAGGCATATTCATTCATATTGTGTCGATACATACCTGGTTATGCTGTGGTAGTGTTTGTGATATTGAAGTCACCCTCACGATGGATACCATAGCTGATAGAACTGCTATATCTACCAATGGTCGGCTTGGAGCATACTTGGACGTACCCCAGTTGTTAGAAGTAGATACTGAGACGAAACTTAGAAACATAATCAGGCATAGATTAGGTAAATGTATAAATCTCGACCAGAGTGTCTCAGACTTGACGGGTGGCTCAACCGGTAATGTATCGCCGTGTGAGCTTTGTGTCCAGGAGCGTCTGTCTGAAGCGTCAACGCACGGGCGTTTTGATGGTGAGATGACTCTACCAGATTCTGCAAGAAACATGGCGTGCAGGGGACGTGGAAGAGGCAGACGACAATCTCTGAAGGAATCGGAAATGTACACATGTCCCAGGAGGTCCTCTAACAACAACTGGGACGCGTCCTTTAAATTCACCAAAGAAGAACTCAGCGCCTTCCTCCCACGACGGAGTTTCTTCAACTGCCATGACAAGGCCCTGAAGGATGCAGGATATGACACAGGCACATCTTCCAAGAAACAGGAACCCAAGCGCCAAACAAAGAGTGACTTAAAAGACATTAGACGGGACAGTGTTGTCAGTGAAAGGAAAGTGTCCGTCATTTCGAAGTGCGACGAGAGTGAAATATTATTGCCTGAAATCGTCATAACTCAAACCGAAGACGGTCAGGATAAACAGATTCATGACGGATCAAGGCCTAATTCTCCTGCTACGAACGACGGCAAGGGAAGACCTCTTCCATCAAAAACCAAACTGGCTAGAAGGAAGATGGAGGACGATTTCAATAAGAACGCACACAAGGCTGTAACGGAGTATTTGAGACACGTGAAAGAAAATCCAGCTGAATACATTGACCAGATCAGGCGTCTTGAAGCTGCCTCTGTCGAAACGAAGCCAGTTGAGAGACTGATAAAGACTGCCATGATCTACCAGAGAGGGCAGCATGGCCAGTCGCGGTCCTCGCTCGTAGTGCGAGCGTCACATGATCTGACACTGAGATACACTGACCCGGGACAGTGGCAGACTGCAAACAAAGAAAGGAACCAGGCATTTACCTTCGGGAAGAAAGAATCTTCTTTGGCGAAGCCTGGACAAGATGGCGACAAGGAAAGTAAACCGGAAACAGACGAAGGAAAGACGGAACTGGATAGATGTCGCTTCAAGGCCGAGAAGTGGATGAAGACGGTGCCGATGTTTCAGCAGCTGCGTGCCCGCCAGATGGCGCTGGAGGAGGTAGGGGAGGAGGATGGGGAGGTGTCCCAGTGGTGGGAATTTCTCAGAACCTGCAACTACCTCAGAAGGTATGATATACCAGACACTGAAGGTCAGCATAAATGATACGGCCAGACACTACTGAGTGTCTCTGGACTCTGGTAGCCTAGTGGTAAAGGTGTTCGGTCGTCATGCCAAAGACCCGGGTTCGATTCCCCACATGGGTACAATGTGTGAAGCCCATTTCCAGGTCGTGATATTGCTGGAATATTGCTAAAAGTGGCGTAAAACTAAACTCATTCACTCTGGACCTAAACTTTCTGGTCATCGCTCATAAAGATGAAGACTTTTCCATTCATATTACTAGTTTATAATGTGGATGGAACTGGGGAGACAAAGGCTATACTGCAACACAAACACTTGTGCACACATATGTGAGCATTAGAACCAGTTGAATCGTAATGAGCAAGCAATTATACCAATGGCCAACCCACCGATGGGAAATTGTGTCTCAGGCAAGATCTGATATGAATCACGTGTTATGATTCCTCCTTATCCGAAGAACTGACTGACTGAGTTTGGTTTTACGCCGCTTTTAGCAATATTCCAGCAACATCGTCACGGCGGGGACACCAGAAATGGGCTGTCCCCCGTGATATTGCTGGAAAATTGCTAAAAGCGGCGTAAAACTAAACTCAGTCAGTCAGTTGTACCCATGTGGGGATTCGAACCCGGGTCTTCGGCGTGACGAGCCAACGCTTTAACCATTAGGCTACCCCACCGCCCCCTGAAGAACTATACAAGATATGTCACCTATGGCAATGATGACTCTGAAGACTGTTGTGCCCTGCTAGGTGTAGTAATGTATGCAAAGACTGTCTACCTTGGCCTTTGAAGGTCAGGACAGACTTTTGTATATCCTCTATCTGTCAAAATCTATCACTTAATTTAAGTATCAACAAGTGAATGTGTGCACATCCTGGAAACATGGTCATGCTGTATGTCCCCATTTTGCACCTTTTGGTTCCAAGTGCCTCGGTCATATGATTTGTATCGTGTATAGAGGACGGTTTGACTCAGAGATGAATATATGGGACGAGTATATGGATGACAACTTCTTGTTTATTGTATAACACAACGTTTCTGATTGAATCACCTGAAGAAGGGGCAAGAAGTAGCCCAGAAACGGTGTGTTATACAATAAACAAGAAGTTGTCATCCATATACTCGTCTTATATATTCACCAACTTCTAAATGCCTCTCAAGAATCTCCAGATGAAGTGCTTTAAAAATTTGTACTGGCAGCATTGTCAGTCAAAAGTATTACAAGGGGGTAAGCGCAGTAGTTGGAACAGTGAAACAAATTCACGTGCGGTACGTGATAAGCGTTAACTTAGACCAACCCTACTTGTTCTCGGTGTTTCATTTAATGTGCTTACCCCTTTGTAATACAAGCAAATAATAGTGATTTGAATCTATGATCGTTTGTTAAACAACTGTTATGCTAGGTTGAATAAAATTATGAGATTTAAATGTTCAATTGACAAGGTAAAGTTATGAGGATCTTCATTTAACTTTATTCGAGTTACTTCTTTGTTTAAAGTGAAATTCATCGGTACGTTTTCACTGCAAACAAACTATAGACTTAGATATCTGTGAGCTTCACCTCTGAATTAAATAGTATCTGGTTTAGGAAAGAAACAAAGCTAACGCTGCACTTATCAGGGTTCCCGTATGGGTGTTCAAAGAGCTTTGTCGTTACTAGCTGGAGGGGCAAAGGAAGGTTTATACCCATGTTAGGTTAAAATGAAGCAAACAAGATATAGTTGTTCTGAAAACAAGTAGAAAAGTCTAGTTTACCTTAAGCTGGCAGTGTGTGTTATTTCTTCGAATGTTTTCAGGCGTAACGTTTTGATGACGTTTGTAATTGTTTGTCAATACAATTGTGTATAGTTTCTTTTGCCCGGGATGTCTATATATCGAATAAATATGTTTTAGTGTAACCATCGGTTCGGAATGAAACATCCGGCATGGAATACTTTATAACACATCAACATCACATAAACCACAAACTGTTTATAAGGGAATCTTGGAGCATGCAGATGTTTCGACGTACAGTGCAGAGGGCATAAGATAGTTCAAGGGGGAGTTCAGAGGGCCTAAGATATTTCGAGGTACAGTTCAGAGGACCTACGATATTTCATAGTGCAGTACAGATGACCTAGGATATTTCGAGGTACAGTTCAGAGGACCTTAGGTATTTCGAAATAGACGGATGTAGACGTATTTTTCTGTAAAGAATGTTTTTACATACCCATATACACAAGAAGAGAGTCATTCCAGTTCATATTTCATATTTCTTTAAAATACGGTACATGTGTATATGTATTTAACGAATGGGCTTGTTGCTATCAGATTTCCGCTTCTACAGTTATTTATTAATTATGTATAATAAAGAAATCGTTCATCCATGTGTGTTTCATCGTTAGTGAAATACAATAATTGTTTACTTGTTTGGCAACATTTGTATGATATTCATGTAATAAATGAGTGAGTGAGTTTAGTTTGACGCCTGGGCTAGACAATCCAGTGATCAACAGCATGAACACCAATCTACGCAACTGGGACACGATTACATGTGTCAACCAAGACAGCGAGCCTGACCACCCGATCCCGTTAGTCGCCTCTTAATAAGCATGGGTTACTGAAGATCAATTCTAACCCGGATCTTCACGGGATTCATGTAATAAATCTAAAAAGGTGGGATGTATTTTACATCCTCCGTCTATCTTCGGAAAACACTTGTTGCTGACGTTCAGTATTAAAGCTAGTAACTGTGTTGACTATGGAATCCTGGAAGGGACATTGTCGCGTTGTCGCATTGTCGCGTTGTCCCTCTCAAATACAAACAAAATAGGCAAAATTAACCAAAACGCGACAACGCGACATTTCGCCCATTTGTCGAATTGTCGCAATGTCGCGTATCGCGTTTTGGTTTGTTTTGCCTCATTTTATTTGTTTTTGAGAGGGCGACAATGCGACAACGCGACAATGTCCCTTCTCGGATTCCATAGTTGACAGTGTCTTCAAGTCCTACTGACGAGCTCCAACAATCTGAGCGTCACAAGATTGTTGGGGTTGGTATTTTACGGCCGCCTCTACAAGTATCTATTTGCATCACGTTTTGTAATGTGAGTGAGTGAGTGAGTTGAGTTTTACGCCGCACTCAGCAATATTCCAACTATATGGCAGCGGTCTTTAAAAAATCGAGTCCAGACAATCCAGGGATCAACAGCATGAACATCGATCTGCACGGTTGGGATACAATGACATGTGTCAACCCAGTCAGCGAGCCTGACCACCCGATCCCGTTAGTCGCTTCTTACGACAAGCATGGGTTACTGAAGATCAATTCTAACCCAGATCTTCACGGGTGTATTACGGCCGCCTCTACAAGTATCTATTTGCATCACGTTTTGTAAAGTGAGTGAGTGAGTTTAGTTTTACGCCGCACTCAGCAATATTCCAGCTATATGGCGGCGGTCTGTAAATAATCGAGTCTGGTCCAGACAATCCAGTGATCAACAGCATGAGCATCGATCTGCGCAATTGGGAACCGGTGACATGTGTCAACCAAGTCAGCGAGCCTGACCACCCGGTCCCGTTAGACGCCTCTTACGACAAGCATGGGTTACTGAAGACCAATTATAACCCAGATCTTCACGGGTGTAATGAAGTAAGAAATGGTGACAGTGAGTGTATGCACGTCTGTACTTACTGTGTAAACTGTGTGGAATGAAACAGTAAAATCCCTGCAGAACAGTTATAAAGGCTGAGTTTCTAAACACGTCGCTATTGAGACACGTGTACGATGACACGTGTGCATCTAACACGTGCGTCACAGGCAAGACGGTTAGACGTTAGGATTTTGTTTTGGACAACCATTGAGGTATCATTTATAGTCGTGCATGCAATCAAGACAACAGGGGGTCATATTGTCCGAGACATCACTTTAAGACCTTAGGCTTGTCATGAGAAGCTTGTCAACCATCATGTAGAGTGCCTCACAGTCCCTGCAAAATGTCCAGATGAAGCAAGTCTAGATTTCCCCAGCTTCTGAATCTCTGAGCTCACTGGAACTCCTTTTCAAGTTACTTGTCTGTATCAAACAGAGACGAGGCGTTCTTCCAACATAAATGATACATGATACATGTCTTGCGTAGTCCTATACTCATCACTGGGCATCGATAGACTGGTCCAGTCACGAGACAAGTGGACGGAGAATTACGTTAGATGCACGTTACGGGGTGGTGTGGTGTGTTTGTTTTAAACATATTTTATTCATTCAAGAAAAGGATTGGGAACAAGTATCCATCTTAGAAAATCCCTCTCGTTGTCAAGAAAATGTTTAGATCTATATGTTTGGAAATGTTTAAATTATGAACGGAACAAACAGTTGGTGTCCTCTGTCTGGAGTCAATACACATGAATCCTTCAGTTTATATCAGAAACAACTTGATGCATATATAGAGACGAGATACCAGTCAAGCAGTCAAACATTGGAACCATTACTTTGACCAGGCTGTGTCACTCCCATTGGAATATATGCTCCGAATGGAGATCGTTCGGGGTTAACAAACCACAAGAACCTACATACCTTTCAGTATATATTATACACATAAGCTCCCATTTTATATAAAAAAACGGCTTTCCAGAGTCGGTTCCCATGCTTCCATGTATAGTATATCCGTAAAGACCCGGGTAAGAGTTGATCTTCAGCAACCCATGCTCGTCGTAAGACCGGGTGGTCAGGCTCGCTAACTTTGTTGACACATGTCATCGTATCGATGCTTATGATCCATGCTCATGATGTAGATCACTGGATTTTCTGGTCCAGACTCGATTATTAACAGAACATCGCCATATAGCTGAGCGCGGCGTTAAACAAAAAAACAACAGTGTACAGTCACTACCTGGGTTAAATCAGACCTGGTTTCTGTGACCTTTCAGCCCTTGTCTCGTTTGTACTTTATTTGATTAGATCCAATTTTAAGTATATACTGTCTTTTAATAAACAGTTCTTACTCTGGCATTCCTATCATGAATACGCTATGTACGTGATGTCTCATGGACCAAGCTTACGTCACGCTCATCAAGTTGAAAGGCATCTTAACGAGTTATTGAGCAAAACGAATCAGTGAAAATGTCTCGCCATAAATTCTTCTTTGCTTACGGCAAGTGTTGACATGCTGACAGTTCACCTGCATGCTTAATGCCAGCAATACAGTGTGTAGGCACGAACATGACAGACCACAGACATGACGAAGCAGTATCTTCCTTATCTCCCAGCGCTGTACCCCCAGGCTGTGCTGACGCGTGGCCAAACTCCTCGCGAGGGGTTAAAATATTTAACACACAAAAAATTAACTTTTGTAATAGTCACACTCATCGCTGCGGTGTTAATTTGACAGCTAATAACTTTATCCATTAAGCATGTTAAGGACTACAAGGAATGTGTCGTCTTTCTGTGAAATCGTGTTGAAAACTTTGTAGAAAGAAATCTTAAATTTGTGTAGCAAGCTAAACCCTACCTCCGATATTTGTGTTGAACAACATCAGAAACATGGAGA